ACACACACACACACACAATTACTGATGCAGGTGAGAACATGGGAGAATCTCAAAGCTCTCAAAGATGTCCTCTGTGAGGAATAGAGGACACTCAAGTATCAGCTCCTTTACCAAAGTAGAAATAGAGATCATCACATCCGTCCTCACAGGTGATGGCAAAAGAGCCACCTCGGACACTGCTAGCCAAGGGGATCTTGACCCAGACATGTCCACAGAGTGTGTCTTCTCCAGAACTCACGGCTAAGTTTTTAACTACAGATCTGAGTCCTTTAGTGTGCCCATGCCATATGACAACCTAATGCATAGCAGGGTGGCAGCTGGCTGTTCCCAGGACCACTTCTTAGCTGTGAAGGAAAGAAAACACTTCCACTTCTTATCTCCAGGCCAAAGTACAGGGAGCAGCTCACAGGTGCTTTGCAAATAGAATGGATTATTTCTAAACAAACTTGGCTGGGAAGAAAGTCATCAGTGTGGCTAATCTCCTTCTCCACCTTCTGTGCCTTTCAGATCTCTTTCTGGGTTCACTGGGGCGGAGGACTGCTGGTCCTCCTACCCTACCCTCGAGTGACCGAGGCATGTGTCTTCACAAATACTTCTTTTCATTGACCAGGGTGTCCTAGGACACCCTCCCTGGGATCTGCTAAAAGCAAGCGTAGCAATATGACCGGGGGAACTCATGTCTGGAGGGACTGTGATGGCGATGGTACAGTGTGGGGGTCACTTCCCTGCTCTTGTTTTAGACACACGGCGTTTCGGCAACTGAACCTGTGGAGTCAGAAGGGACCACCGAGTCCTTTCTTTCTCATGCTCCCATCATCACTGTTTCTTTCCCTTGAATTTCTCTTTGTAGCAAACCCGCTCCACAGACTGTGCTGGTCTGTGTTTATGATAACTGGGGTTCTGAGCACTCGTGCAGCCCTGTTGCTCCTGTCCTGGCATTTCTCCAACAGAGTCCAAAAGATAAAACATGTTTGTAGGAGGTCACGGCCCAGCCACTGATCATGACTGTACATCTCACACTCTAGCACAAGTCACAGCGCCACCTGAACAAGGATTGGTGCCAAAAGGGGAGGTGGCTCCAGGAGAAGACTCTGAGCCCAAGATCCCAGGGTGGTGCTGTCTGGCTCACTACACCCTGGGAGGCCTCGGCCTCTGGTCCCGCCCTCCGGGGATATCCTCATCTCTGCAGTCCGAGCTGCTAGGCTTCTAGTTGTTCACCCTCACAAGTACACTTGAGAGGGCTGTCTTTGAGTTCTGCCTCTGCTGGCCTCATCCCTCTGCCTTGGGTGCCAGGAGATACCCGTTGCCATCTGTGCAGATGCTGCTCTGTTGGATCCTCCTTGGCCTTTTACTGGCCACCGTCAGAGGTGAGCGTGTCCCTCTAGAGAGAAGGTCATGGCACTATCTTGATGTTGTGGAGATCTGTAGGCATGCCAGAGTCCGCAGGCATGTCAGATGTGTGTAACGTTAAGAGCGGTGAGACTAGACTTGACTAGCAGCACCCTGTGCTGTTTTACTGCAGGTGAACGTGTCTTGAATTTGCCTGGTAAGGGTTCTTAGTGAATATGCTGTTTTGTGGTCACCCTAGGACCCCCAAAGTCAGGAAGATGCCTGTGGAAGTGTGTATGTGCAGATGCACCCCAGACATCTCTTATAGGCGCAGAAGTTTGGGTCACTAACAAGATGACTGCCTGACCACAGTCCACCCTGAAAAACCTGTGGCAGGTGACATTATGCCTCCCCAGAACCTGGCAGATGCACCCCAGACATCTCTTGTAGGCGCAGAAGTTTGGGTCACTAACAAGATGACTGCCTGACCACGGTCCACCCTGAAAAACCTGTGGCAGGTGACATTATGCCTCCCCAGAACC